TTTTAAAAATTCTCTTACAATTAAGAATACATATATTTTGACTTTAAAAAATTACAACTAATAATTAGAAACAAGAAAACTATTGCAATGGAACAGAGATTTTTGAAGAAGAAGAAGCGGCGTGAAGAGCAATATTGGGGGTTGGGAGAAAAAATATTAAAAAATGGGTAGATTGAAATGTTTGACCCTAAACTAATTTGAATTTACAAAAAAATACATAATCAATATTTTGTCTAAAGCTTAAGAGTTAAAATAAAAATTAAACCATGTAACTAACGAGTCACGTCATTAAACTAACGATATTCAACGTCCAAGTAATCAAAACTTAATAGAATGATAACGTAAGTGATCAATACTTTTTTTTTTTAAATTTAGTGAGCAAAAGTATACAAATATGAAAAGAAAGTGACCAAAACTTAATCCACATATTATATACGTGGAAATGATGTAATTCTAATTTTAAATATTTATCGTAACACGTCAGTAAACCAGTAAAGGTTTAATGGCCGTTAACTTTCAGTGACTACATCTTAATTAAAATGAAACGAAAAAGACAAAAATCTTATATTTTTTAAATTCAATAGGGTAAAATTTATAAAATTTAAACAAAATAATCATTTCTTGTAGTTTATGTTTATTTAAAAAAATTGAATAACTAAAACATAAATAAAATAATATATGAGTAGTAAATAGATAATTTATATTTTTTAATTATATTTAAACTTCATAATTTTAAGCCCTGAGAAGTTACTTACGGATTATTACAAAGATTATTTTTTTAATCTTAGAGGAAGAATTAACATTCTTTATCACACTTTTCGATATACATTTCGGCAAATTGATCAAATAAAATAGACTATGAAATCAAACCGGCAAGCAACAAAGGCTTAGACCAAGTATTCGGCTTAATTAAAAGCCAAGTGGAAGAGAGAGATCGACAAAGCATGCCATACGTAAACAGAGTAACAGAGTAGCAGAAGAAGTGCAAGATAGCAGAGAACTGTCCGACAATATAATTGACAGACAGCGTGGGAAACAATAATTGGGGGAATTGCCTGCTGGTTATCTGCCTACGACCTCCTCATTAACCCTATTAGCCGGATTTCTCGGTTGCCGCGATTTCTGCTCCTTTGATTTATCTTTCCTATATTTATTTGTTTATAAAGTTTTCAACCCCACTTGTTCTGTATTTTTCTGTATCTTAACGATAATCAGTATTTTTTTTATTCGGGTAACGATAATCAGTATGTTATCCACAAGTAAACAGTTTTTTTTTGAAAGATCAAGTATACAACTGGTTTTTGGGGGGAACAGACATCTCTTTCTGCCGACCTGACATTGACCGAGTCTTTAACCCTGTCCTTTGCACAGGTAGAGGTTTGCCCAAGGAGACGTGTGGCGGGTGAAGAGTGGTGGTTACTGTAAATAGCCAGGCACGCGTGAGGCACCAGCGTCTACAACCAGTCACCCCACCATGGAATTGTGAGTCTTATGACTTGTCCAAAAATACTCTCCCTCTCCCTCTCCCTCTCCCTCTCTCTCTCTGCGAATTGAATTTCCTTTAGGCGTTTCAGACCTGTTTTTGACTGCTCACTGACTATCCTGTATGAACAATAAGGCAGTAAATGAGATTCCAGTTTAATTTAGTTAAAATTAAGAATTAATATAAAAATAAATATTTAAATAATGTTGTCCAAATGATTTTTTAGATGAAATTTTAAAAATCACACATTTTTTTTAATTATTCTCTTTCTTGGTTAATTTTCAATTAAAAAGTAATATGAATTAAAAAATCTTTCGTTTCGAAAATTTTGAAATTTTCTTTACGATAGAAATATATATGGTTCAAGGAGTCACCATCAATATTTGAATATGGTATAATTGGGCACCCAAAAATATTTTTTCATTTTAAATAAAAAAATAATTTTAATTAATTATAGTCTGCATACCAGAAAATTGAGTTCGGGAGTAGGTTACGCGTAGGGAAGGATTAGCACTCCCACAGTGCCCTAAATTGGTACCTATTTGATTAATTAATTATCTTTGCAATGAATTTTACAAGTTTGAATTTAATTTGATTCATGATTCCATTAAAACAACAATTTATGAATTTTAAAATGAAATCTAATAATATTTAATTATTTCCTATCGAGAAGAAAAAAAACCCCTTATACCTTGAGGCAATCAATTCTTACTCTAATCGAAATAAAGAAATATTATAATTCCATTACAATATTTAAATGCACAAAAACCGATTAAATTAAAATTACCAATCATTTTTAGAAAGAAGAAGAATATTCGATTATTTAAAAACATCGATATCATACCTTAGATAAGTTCTAAAAATCTTTTTCCGAATAATTTAAATGAACGAATAATTCTTATTATTTCATTCCCAAATTTTAAGTGAGGAATCATTTTTAGGTTTCACTGTTTTAATACACTTTCAGTTTAAAATCATCGATAATAACTCTCTAATAAGTTAAGACAAGCCCTTCACAATGATTTTAAAATAAAAGGGTGTTACAGCCGTCTTTCAGGTGAGTCCGGAATTGAGATTCGACTTAAGTAAATGGGCTAGAATCGCCACCAATAATTTATTTTTAAAATAAAAATTAGGTTGATCGAACACCTCGATTTATTTTCTTACATGATCTGCGTCTTACAAAAAATATGTCGGGCTCGGGAGTTGTTTACAGTCAAGGAAAAATTAGCACCCTTGTACTGCCCTTTCGGTACTAATTTAATTTCACTTGTTTTAATTAAGAAAATTGCAAGTTAAATTAAAAAATAAAAATTCAATCCAAATTACTTACCTTTAATTGATTTAAGAGTACCCCTAAAAAAACAAAAAGATATAAAAAATGAAGTACTGAATTGATCAAAAAGAAAAAAGAAACAAAAGCTAAATTATAATACTTCAGAAAAAATAAGAAAAATAAATATATATATATGTCGAGAAATAAAAATTAACAGAATGGAAGATTGAAATAAATAGAAAAGAAACAAATCATACATATTGAAAATACAAAAGAATGTGAAGAAAAGTCAATTAAATAAAAAATAAAAAATGTTAATTGCAAAATATAAACAAAGATAAAAATTACTAAAATTAAGATGAAAATAAAAGAAATAATAAAAAATAAAAATAAAAGAACGATTACTATTGGATTGATGATTCATAAAGCGTGATATCTTTTAAATATAATTAAATAAGACATGAAATAAATAAGGAAATGACCAAATTGAAAAATAAAATACATTGAAGGATGAATTTAAAAGAAAAATCGGAACTAAAATCGAATTTAAGGCGCAAAATAGGTTTTAAAAATAATTCAGGGACCAACGCTATAATTAGTCCCTACCCGTGCGAAAACACACGGATCCTTAGGGGATCCAGTCGGGTTTACAGGTTGGCTATAAAGCCTAAAAATCAGAAACATATTTCATTTTTTCTGCTGAACGTTCGACGCTAAAACCCTAACATTTGGCCCATTTGGATCGTTGGATTGGTTCAGATCCAACGGATCTGGTGTTGCGACGCGAATGCCAAAAGATGAAACCCTAACAAGTGTTGGGCTCTTGGCCGAGTCGGTTCGGTTTTCTAGGTCCTTGGGTTGGTTTGTTGGGTCATGCTTGCCACTTGGTTTGTTGGGTCCGGCCTGCCACTATGTTGGGCTCTTTCTTCTGGATTTGGACTTGAACCTATTTGAACCAAAATAAATAAAATAAAAAAAAATAATAATAATATAATAAAAAAAAAAATATAATACCTAAATATTTTATATAATATATATTTAAAAAAACAATTCAAAAATTATAAATATATATTTCCAAAAATGTTTTTAAAAACTATATATTATATATATTTTTCAAAATGTTTTCAAAAACTATATATTATATACATTTTCAAAATATTTTTAAAAACTATATATTATATATGTTCTGAAAAAAATATTTTTCAAAACTATATATTATATTATATATATATATACACTAAATAAAACCCCGAAAAATGAGTGACTACAAAGAGTATTACCCTTAATCCAATTATTTGATAGGGGTTGAGTTATGCACATGAGAATAACATACAATTGTGCAAAAAATTGTCATACGATTCACCACTAAATCATTCGCATACTTGTTCATGTAGAAAACACATCAACAATGCAAAACAAATACAAACCATTAATTAAAGAAGGCAATTATTTGACAAGGGACTAAATTAAAAGGAATAAAAAATGAAAGGATTAAATATAATAGATAAAATAATCTAAATTAGGACTAAAATACTTGAGATCTAAATCTAAAGATTCAATTTAAAGTCAAATTTCTAGGATCGAATTTAGAAAATGACCACCATCTCAAAATTAGGACTAAACCTAAACTAAGGCTCAAATTAACCATAATTATTTAATAAAGAAAATACCTATCCTAAAAGTAAATTTCTAAAGCACAAATAATGTTAAGGAAATAAGAAAATAAATTACCAACACAACGAATTTTCGCATACGACTTTAAATGTGTAAAACGATCGAATCAAAAGAAAATGAACATGAATTTTAGTACTTAACAAATTAAACAAACAAGGGATTAAATCAAAAAACACAAAACTAATCGAAGATTAAATTCTAATTATTCTCAAGCTCAACTAAGGATTAAATTAAAATAAAACAGAAAATAGACATGCGCATCAAGAATTAAGGCAGTGATTAAAATAAAAAAATGCACATAAATATGAAGGAATTAAATATAAATAACCCGAAAATTATTACAGAAACCTCAATTTGGAAATTAACAAAATTGGGACAAAAAAACTGAATTCAAAATCAATCCCTACAGATGACTAGAATGTAAATAGACGATAAACCTAGGAGGACAAAAACCTAATTTTATCCTTGGGCTTCAGTGGCTAAATGAATAATTAACCCAAAATTTTAATATATATTATAATTAAAAGATTAAACCTAATCCTAAACTTATTCTAAACCTTCAGTCGCTTCTCTCTTCTCCCTTCCTCCTCCATATTTCGGACGCTCATTCCAAAGGGCCAACAAAACCACGATGACCATACTCTAATGAAGCTCATACCACCCCTATGTACCACTCACGATGGTCACAAAGGCTGAGACTAAACCAAACTGACATTTTTTAAGCTCTCTCCTCCTTTGACCGAACCTCTAGAGGACCCTAACCAAAGCATAAGCCGCCCCCTACACTGTCGTAAATCGGAGTATATCAGCACCGATCCATGCTCAGGCCACCATTAACAACCATCAGGGACATCAAAAACCAACCCAATCGACCCAAATATTCCACTTCCCACTTTAAACCTCCTTCTAAACCTAACAGAAACTTGAGACCCCTCCGGTGACCACCGTGACGGTTGAGCAAACCCAAACGTCCCTAAACTCACAATCTCGGGCTCCTTACTCTGGCGACGAAACCATATCAAAAGGTAAATCTAACTGCCTATTTCTATTTTTATATTCTTTTTTTATGAACCTAAACCTCATTACTTACCTTCCGCACTCCGACAAAGACACCATTCCAACTTCGACAATGGAACCCGAACGGTGATGAGATGGAGTCGACGAGGCTCCACCAACTTTCACACAACCCAAGTAATTCAACCCCAAATCCCTTTTCTTTTTTAGTTTCGAAATAATAATAGCACACATAAAAAAACAAATCGGACAACAAAAGAAACCGAAGAAGAATACCTCGAAAAAATGTGTAGTGCTATGCTTTCTGTGTTTTTGAATTATGAGATTACACTCTCATTTTTCTTTTGTATCGATTTACTCTTTCTAATGTGTTTTTTTTCTAATGCTTTGTGTTACTGAAAATAGGAGAAGCCTTGTGTTGCTAAAAACTGCTCTCAAATCTATTATCTTTGTATTGCTATCAAAAGGATCAAGTTTATATGAATCATTCTTTCGAAAAGGAAGCCCCTTACAAAATCCCCTTTTAGGTCCCTTTATACTCTGTTTTTTACGCGAGAACGAGAAATCAAATTTGTTACATTTTTTTCTCATTCCTCTTTTTGGTTTCCTCTTTGCATGATAGATTTCGTGAGCTGGAGGTTTGTTGGTGTCAGTTTGTTACCATCTGCTGCTGAGAGGATGAGCCCAATTGATAGTGCACAACTGGCGTGAAAGATAGGTGCCAACTCGGGGAACTTCTTGAATGCTAGTGATGAGGCGTGGTTGTTGCTGGGATTGCTCACGTGGAAGATAGGGGTATCTCTACTAATATTTCACAACCCTGATTTTGGGTTTGTTGTTGGGTTTAGTAATGGGTCCAAACTGGGCATGGGCCATTTTGTTTTGGGACAAATGGATTGGGTTTAAATTTGAATTTGAACATTTATTTAGGTTTTATAAATGGGGTGTTATGTATACATAGACATGGACAATACTTTAATGGTTAATTTTTGATGAGAATGGATAAACATGAATAGTCACTGGTCCAAATAATCCAATGCACAAACCTAAAATTGAATATTCAATTTGATCCCCAAATTTCTACTTGTATCATCAATGACCCTTATATTGGACTTATCATCCTTTTGCGAGTGTCTTCAAATCGTCCTTCAATCACCTTCAGGTTGAATTAAATGACAGAGACAAAATTAGGGTACAACAACTGCCCCTCCTTGCTTGTTGTTGAGGAACAAAAACGAAGCAAAGACAAATATAGCCTAATTTTGTCTGATCTAATTGTAACTCCAACTTTGGCACCCACAACCTCGATATTTATATAATTTGTCATTTCATCTTCAAATCAAATAATCTTCCCTAGCTTGCCTCCAGGTCTCTTGAATTAATTCCTCATCAAGCACAAATATCTTCGAATTAGTTCTTGATCACCTAATTTTGTCGGGTTTGATTGTAATGAATTCGAGAAGTATCCCACTTTACTATAACTTTAGGGAAGATTGAATCAAACTTGATTTGCTTCATTGTTCTTCAAGAAGACCAAATCTCATTTGATTTTCCCCAATCTCATGTGTGCATACCCTTTTAATTGATTGATCTACTTCTCCGTACTCGAGAATCTTTACTTTCCTCCTACATCTGATGGTCCTGCAAAAGACACATCTATCAGCAACTAACATGTCTGAAGGTTTATTATTATTTTATTATTTTTATTATTCATTCATTTTTTAGATGAGAAACTTTGAAAATAACTTTCTCATTTTCTTATAAATACCATATGAAAGCATCTTGTCTGAAGGTCTTATAGATGGACCGAAGGACTTATCATCTTGCTTGAAAGCCTGACAGATAACCCAAAGGATTTAATCATCATGCTCGAAAGACTTATTGATGGCCCGAAGGACTTACTAAGTAAGAAACTTTAGAAATCGTTTTCTTACTTTTCAAAAATCATGTGAAAACATTCTACCTGAAGGTCTTATAGATGGCCTGAAGGACTTATCATCTTTCTCAGAAGCTTGACAGATGACCCGAAAGATTTAATCATCATGCTCGGAAGGCTTACTGATGGCCCGAAGGACTTATCGATTTTGGAAATAATTTACTAGATAAGAAACTTTGGAAATCACTTTCTTACTTTTCAAAAATTTCATTTTCTGAAAACATTAAATGAGAAACTTTGGAAATCGCTTTCTCATTTTTTGAAAGTCACATGAAAAATCCTGCCCCGAGGTCTTATAGATGACCCGGAGGACTTATCATCTTGCTTGAATGTCTGACAGATGACCCGAAGGATTTAATCATCATGCTCGGAAGGCTTACTGATGGCCCGATCGATTTTGGAAATAATTTACTGGGTAAGAAACTTTGGAAATCGCTTTCTTACTTTTCAAAAATTTCATTTTCTGAAAACATTAAATGAGAAAATTCAAAAATCACTTTATCATTTTTTAAAAGTCACGTGAAAACATCCTGCCCGGAGGTCTTATAGATGGCCCGGAGGACTTATCATCTTGATCGGAAGCCTGACAGATGACTTGAAGGATTTAATTATCATGCTCAGAAGGCTTACTGATGGCCCAAAGGATTTATCAATTTTGGAAATAATTTACTGGGTAAGAAACATTAGAAATCACTTTCTTACTTTTCAAAAATTTCATTTTCAAAAAACATTAAATGAGAAACTTTGGAAATCACTTTCTCATTTTTTGAAAGTCATGTGAAAACATCCTGCCTGGAGGTCTTATAGATGACACATAGGACTTATCGATTTTGGAAATAATTTATTGGGTAAGAAACTTTGGAAATCGCTTTCTCATTTTTTGAAAGTCACGTGAAAAGATCCTGCCGGAAGGTCTTATAGATGGCCCAGAGGACTTATCGATTTTGGAAATAATTTACTAGGTAAGAAACTTTGTAAATCACTTTCTTACTTTTCAAAAATTTCATTTTCTAAAAACATTAAATGAGAAACTTTGGAAATCGCTTTCTCATTTTTTTAAAAGTTACGTAATGCAATGTAATGCTTCATCTGTGGATTACCTGTTCTTCAGGTTTTGCCTCTCTAAACATGATTCCCTGCATTTGAGGTTTGAATTCTAGCTTTCAACTTACTGGGATTTTGACATCATGAATCTTCTCTTTTCACTGGAAGATCTGTATCAAACATGTGTTTATGTGTGAAATACAAATGTAATGTCATGTATTTTCTTTTATGCAAATGATTTTCTCATGAATGCATAAATGGTGATTAAATTTTCATTGACTCCAAAGTATAAAACTCAGTCTTCTTTCACTAGATCGCTTCTCTCTAGGGTTTACTCAGATATCAGTGTAGCACCTTATAATTTCCAGATTGCATTGTTGAATAGCCATATGCTCAATTTATAGCTTTGTGTATTCTTTACCTCTTATCTTCATTAAAGTCTCAGAATAAATGATTTGTTTCTCGAGTTCTTGCTGTGGTCAGAAATATGTTCTTAAGGCCTATTTCTGTCTTTAACTCAATTACATTATCATAGTTGTTTTTCTAGGATTCTACAATTAATTGATGCTTGAATGACTTGATTTACAAGGTAAGCTCTTGCTCAAATTCATGGTATGTCCTTGACACTCCAAGTTGTGAGGCTCATTTTCAACATCTCTTTAGTTAGAACCTCATCATCTCAACATGATCTAGGTTTCTGGTCATGCCCCAAAGTAGGTACCCATGGATCTTTTCGTGCCCAAAATATCTTAATCTTGAATAGTCTTAATCTAATGTCACTAAACAGTAGTGTTATCAAGTATCTTGAGGGCTTCTCTTTGTGATGCCACATATATCACGTATATTTAAGTAGTGATTAATTCTTCTAACAAAAATGTCTTGCATTTTTTATATGAGCTAAGATATGTGCCCCTTTGAATAATGAGATCATCTTCTTCTTGATGAGTTACTCACAACGTCACAAGGAAATGTTACAAGCTCCATTCCTCAGTCCTTCTGATCTCTCGGACTATTTGCTTTTAGGATTGTGGAATGCTTCATTATTCTGGCATCGCTTATTCTTTTTCTCCTATAGAGGCAAAATGAGCCTCACCAGCTTCAAGGACCTTTTCACTTGAGATTTTCCTATTTGAAAATGTTTTTCTTTTTCTTTTTATTTCCACAAAATTGAAAAATAATTTTTAAAAATGTTTAATAAAAAAAAAGAAAAATATTGCCCCTTTCTAGGTTTCTCAATTGAGACAAATCATAAAGCAAAAGTTTAATAAATATCAAACAAGTCAACTACTATTTTAATCTTTCAAAAAATCATAGCCCATTGGCAAGTGTCAAAATTATTGACAAATTTAAGGAGTAGGTTGATTCTAAAAAGGTAAGGTCTCTCAGGTTGGCTTTTTATTACAATATATTCGTCTCTTTGGGCATCCACAGACTTAAAGAAGTGGTTGTTATTCTCATCTTCTATAGATAATTATTGGTTCCAAATTATCAGGAACACCTTTGGGATATATAGTCCTTCATCAAGAGCTTTGTAAGACCGTCTCTTATGTCGTCGTTGCACAATTTAATATTCGAGCCGCCCTTTCAGGTTTTCAACTCAAATCCTCCTTTGGATTCAAGACGTTATTCAAAATTTTATGTCTTGAACCCTTTTTTTATTTTTCCTATCATACATTAAAGATTTTAGAAAACCATTTTTGCAAATAAAAATTAATCCTGAGAAGTGGAATGAAATATGAAGATAATCTCTTTCACTTAGAAATCTATGTATGATTAGAATGGACTTTTCAGGCACGTAATATAGGTCATGGCTCATGGTTACGAAAGAAAGGGATAAATAGGCCCAAATAAGTGTTTAAGGGTAATTGAACCAAGGATCAATTTGTTCTGATGCCTTGAATCTTGCCTTGCTTGGATTGGATCTGCTTGCTACCTGTTTTTTACATTCTTTTTCTTTTTCTGGATCTCTCTAAACTGCCCATTTTTGGGTTTTCACCCTAGAGTTCATCTCCATTTTATTATATCTTTAGCATTTCTCTCTCTTCTTGTTGAATCATAATCTTTTAAACGATTGCAATTGATCAACCTTGTGTCTTGAGTTAAATGAGTCACTCATTTTGAAATACTTGATTTATTTTTCCTCACATTTTCTTTTTCCTCTTTTTCTTCATTTTTCTTTTCTTTCTTTTCTTTTTTTCCCTTTTCTTTTTACAAATTTATTGGATGTGTATAGGACTCCAATTGCTTTGAGCACCTTCATGTCCTCTTTATTTCTAGCATTTTAGAAATTCTTTCGTTATTCTCAACTAGATTTGATCTTCAAGCACTTTGTATTCGATCTGCCTTGTGGTTCCTTGTTATTCCTCTTTATTTCAAGGAGACTTGCCCCTGTAATAAATCCTGGATTGACGGTTTTTAACTCCTACGAGCAGATATCCTTCAACTTGCCCCCTAGTGTGGAGGGTGATCCTAGGTTAGGGTTGAATCAGAAGAAATATAATTCAGGCTCAAATGGGGACAAAAAAGATATGTTTTCTCTTTTTGTGAAGGGATAAATTGTTAAGTTAATCGATTGACGGAATAGGCCAAGAGGGGGGAATTGGTAATAAATATTTCGGTGGAAGCTTTTGCATAAAATTGAAAATATTTGCTCAACGATTTAGAGTGGTTTTCCAGAAGAAAATCCCTCAAGAATTATACCCCAAATTCACTAATTTGTCTTTATTTTGAGAACAAAGAGTAACCTTACAAATCCCTCAAGAATTATACCCCAAATTCTTGAGAACACTCTCTCCCAAAGAGAACAATACAAATTTTGCAAACTTACAAGAAAATCCTCACAAGGAAAGATGTTTGCACAATTCTAGAACAAAGAAAGAACACTCAAGAATAATACAATTGAGTACAATAAGTGTTCTTGAAAGCAAATATGAATATTGAATGAAAATAGGCTTGAAAATGCTCAAACTTGAGGTTTGATG